CGTGCTGTCAAACCTACACTAGCAAGGAGATCGGGCTGAAACTATAGCTACAAGCTATCCAAGGATGGTACTATAGAATGTCACCTCAAGGTAGGCCTAGTGGCGTCATCTCTTGGTTAGGCCGGAAACTTATCAATCCACCCTCGTATATATCATAATGCCTTCGATAGTTGTCTCTTCCAATCAAAAAGAAATAGGGGTGAGTAAAAAGGATATACTGGACCTACCTGCATATGTGAGCATTCTGATGATTATTGTTCCTGGTTGAAGAAAATATAAGAAAATGCAAGGAAAGTAGAAATGTTAAAAGACGATGCATAACAAAATTCAACTTGATTTATACACATTCTGCGTTCACTTTATTGTTAATTAAAACTGAATGGAAAAAAGTTACTCCAAAAACCCACTGATTGAGGTTGGTTCGCATTTTAATTTTGATTTTCAGCAATAATTCGAGCAACCTGTTTCACACATCTATATCGGCCTCATTTTGCTTCCGTTTAATAAAACATGTGTGTCATAAATGGCTGTTTTTCTTTATCAAAGTGTACAGCTATGCGCATATGGTACGTAACGGACATTGACAGTTCGCTGGTATGGGTAATATTTACAGTTAAATAATTTCGTATTTTATGATGTTTGCTATTTTGATGTTAGTTTCCACATTTGCATTTTCTACCTAATTGTACACACACATGTGTAAAATGCATTCACGCACTCGGGTGGTAAATAGCTCTCTACTCACATATCCACTGCATGCAGCAGCACTGGCGAATTAAGAACCAAACATCGGGATATTCTATTGAATACAACCCTCAAAGGGCGGCGTCATCTTTTGAATAATACGGAAATACTTTCAGCCAATTTTTAATATAAGTAATAATTTAATTTATAAATGCAATTTAATATTATAATCTGATAATAATCGAACAGTTTCGTTATTTTTCGAATGACACCCCATTTGACATTTATAAATTTTTCATTTCTTTCGATACGATTTTTGCAAAATCTGTTATCTTAATGAGCCCCAGCCCTTCTTAATTGTCACAATATGCTGTGAAAATTTCATTCAAAATGACCCGATAGTTTCGGCTGTGCGTTGAATAGAAAACTACCCTTTGAATAAAAATTACGAGACAAATCGATCGTCCCAAACTATTTAAAATAATATTTTTCAGTAAAGAGGTAAAATAACCCTTGAATATTGTTTGAGGAATTGCAGGTATTTTAATAAAAACAGGTATCTGTTGCAGTGGTCGCTGGCTAGATGCCAACGTTCTGTATGCGCCGCATTCCTCCTGCTAAAATGCTGAATAAGCTGAGAAGAACTCAAAGGTCCGACCGGTGTTTTACACTGGTCATTTTAACAGAATGTTTTCAAACTTTACGTAGAACGCGTTGTTCTACTTTTAAAATTTTTCTAAACGAAGATTAAATATGCATGCGATGGTATCCACTTTGCAATATCCCACTATTGTTTACTCATCACCTCGTATTCTCTTCTTTTTCGTTTGTTTTACATCGGTAGAAAGCGTATACGTACATAACGCCGTCTGATAAAAATGTTTCGAATTTTTCGGAAAAATTTTATGAACTAATTTAGACATTCTTTGTTTTGTTATTCAATTTCGTTGCGATAAACTTTTTGTAATCACTTATGGAAGATTAAAATTATGATCGAAAACTGAATATGGTTAAGTCCAAAAAACTTTTTAAAAATTTAATTATCGCGTTTTATCACCAAATGTTGCTGCAATAGTAATGTAATGTGGTAAAGTGTGTAGTTTATTTTTAAAAAGAAAAATTTTGTTTTAAAAAAGGAATCAGATTTTATCTTGCTTTTGATCTATCCTTAGCGCGGTAATTTAAAATAAATGAACTGAAATAAGTATGTTATGGTAAAGAATGGTTGGCTTCGAGGATTAAATCCTAAATAAATTAAGACGTGTTAAGGATCAAGAGCAACGACAAACATTGCAACAGGATGACACACGGGAATAAAGTTAAGTCCCTCTCAAGGGATACATGCTTACCAGTTCCATCTCGGATCCAGTGGTTCATGGCTCTAGGCGAAGCTTCAACGTAACACTGCACCAGGACGTCACTAGCCAATGGCGCAGCAACAAGCTGGTTCGTCACTTTTATCAACGGGGGAACTGAAAATTGAATTACTTTTAGAGCCTTCAACAATGGTTCAGCCCATTCGCATCGCCGCGCAATTTCATATTTTCTATCAACGCCTCGATAACAAAAATTACTTCCTTTTGTACAGGGTGTCCTACATCTATCTTTCAGCCAGGCATTCCTTTGTCTGTCAGATAAAGCACGCTTGCTAGATCGTTTAAGAAAGTAGACATTTGTCGTTCGTAAAGGACCTGTACCCGAACATTTAGGAGCTTATTTAGTATTATCCTTATACAGGAACTTATTCAATATTATCCTTGCTATTTTCCAGCGTACTGTTCACATTTTTCTTAACAGAAGGGAAAGAGAATTGCTAATACATTTAAGATGTAGTTTATAGGTATTATGTGTGTAAAACTTTGATAAATAGTTTTGAATAGAAATGCCTTAATTCTAAGTACAAATAATTAATTCCATGACTCCTACAATCGTAAACGTTTCATTAGAAATTTAGAACTCGAACAGTCAAGTAAAATCATATTTATAGTATATAGCTATTAATTTTAGGTTTATCATTTTCCATTTTAGATTTAATTAATATTATTACCCAAGATTAATCCTTCATTTGCGATAGGGTTATAATCCTTCAAGGATAAACTACGAAAACAAACCTTAAAAGTCACAAAGAGAATTTTGCCATCAAACAACAACAAGTTGTAACAACAATCCTATATTTTGATTTCGTGTAGGTAAGGTCTTATGAATAAATTCAAATATCTAAGCTTATTTTGGTTGAAAATATTTTCAAATCGATTGATTAATAGCTAATTAGTATAGTGAATGAAATTCACCCTCTCCTTAGTTTGATTGGATGTTCCGAAGGAGTTGGAACATCGCTTTCGTGTAAAAAAAATGCATTCTGAGGGACAAATAATGGCAATGTTGTGTGCAAAAATAATGTTTGTCGTAGATTTGTTAAATTGCTCGTCAATAATTCTCGACTTGGGATTCTAAGATGTAACGAATCCAGAGGTCTATTAAAATCCACTGGCTTCCGTCTTGGCTTCGAAAATAAAACTTTTCTAAGCTCGAATATGAAATTTTGCTTTAATAAAGAAAGTTTCTTGGCGAGAATGGAAACCACCAGCGGATAGTTTGTTATTTTGTAACAAGCGAATTTAAAGAGCGAACTTGACAGTTATTCGAAATGACTTTCATCCCGAAAAACAGACGAGACATCAATTAGTTTCCAAGTTCAAACGTTTGAGTTTATATTTAAAATAAATAAAACATAAATAAATAAACACGATGAATGTTTTAATTTATTTTTGATTTATCTTCAACAACTTTCTTTAACTTTTGCTATCGACCTTCTTGTTATCGCTTAAGTACTTATTAAAACCGTAATTAAATTTTACTTACACCGAACTTTCACTATGTAACGTTTGCTGACTGTTGGAGGAATCCCATTGCTTGCAATGCAGAGATAAACCCCCATATCGTTACGTTGAACGTTGTGGAGAACCAGTGTATCACCTTCGAAAGTCTTAATAACTGTAACAAAAATATATTTTTCTTGTAGTTTGCATTTGGATTTAGCACAAATAACGATTTTGGAAGTCGATTATAAAGGTTTCATCACGTATATTTATTAATGAGCAATTTTGTGTGATATTTATTTTATTGAAAATTTTAAAGACTTAAAAAGAGACACGTATTTATAATGTCGGTTTTGTCTGATACAAATTTAATTTGCGTGTGTTCATAAATCCATTGATTAAACGGTCTTGTCGTTTGTCCGGTGAGGCTACAGTTCCTAATTTTTAATAGATTTTATCTGTATTTGTTAACAACGAGTTTATATCAATAGTGTTTCACTTTTCACCAATGTTAGAAGATATTGTCCAATGGTAGAAGAAATTGATATGTTTTCTCGAAGTCGGAATGCTTTTAAGCGTCTGCTACGTCATCATATAACAAGTGCATTCAGTTATTATGTGGTGTACGTCCAGGGAATTTACTACATAAAAGTCGAGATAAATATATAAAGTTGTCAGGAGCACTTCTGTACAGTCTTATATACGTTTATAATAAAACGGTAGCTAAGGCTTGCACACAATAAGGCCATATTTCAAAATGCCAGGATGTAGTATCGGCTACGAATCCAGCCGTTGCAGACGACTATTAGGTACCGGGCTTCGCGGACGTTGCCTTACGGAACTGCTAACCCAATCGGAAGAATAAAGACAAATGTTTAAAGGCGCATATGACAGATATAAATGTCACCCCTAATATTGTACTGTTCAGTTGTACGCAAATGTTCTAATGTCCAGTATGGGCTCCGCTACATACTTCGTTCTAAATGTGTCGGGTTGTTCGGAAAATCATTTCGTTTTTTCCCGACAGAGGATTTAATTGTATTCTTTTGCACCCAACTTCACATTTAAGCCGTATAATTTTTATATGCTTTGAGAGCTCATATAGNCTTTCGAGTATTTTAGTTGTGCCTATGTAAAAAAATGTTTACTAGGTATATTAATACATCCAACAAATATAGTCTTTGTAAGTATTATAGTTACGTTAGTATGTACGATCAAGAAATATTAATTACATTAGAGCAAAATAAGCCTATGAAAAATTGTTTGGTTTGAGTTGGCCCGAGGGAGCTAATTGAAATAAACATTGTCATTTGGGAAATGGAAGTGGGGAAGCAATAGCAAAGGAAGACGTCGACAACGCACAAATGCAAAAGGTAACGACAGTTACTTCAATTGCTAACCAGTCTTGAGATTAGTAAACAGCAGATAAAAATAAAAATAGGTGCAATGCTTACAGGTGTTTTACAACCACAACTAGAGTGATGGACCCAAGTGGGTGTCTTTTTGGTGCTTGGGACTGGAAGAGCCTTCGGCGGAGCGAGAGTCCAAGAATAGGGGGGAAATGTGACGGTTGTAATCGCATAGTCGTCGCTGACGTTGTCTTCTTCCGAACCTTTCTTTGACTTCGACTTTTTCTTCGGTTTCTTCAGATTCTCCTTCACCACAGGTTTTCGCGGTTTCGTCATTTCCACGTGCTTTGGCGTGCTCTGAGTGGTGGTTGTCTTCACCAGAAGATGTAGTTCTAGTAACAACAAAAATTCACGTCTTATTTCTGTAAATCGTTGCAAATGGATATTTTTCTTTGCACATACCCTGTAGTCGCACAGTACCCTCACTTCTGCCAACAATATTTGTGGATGAACACATGTAATCGCCAAAATCTCGTTTCTCCAATGATTTTATTGTCAGATTCATAAAATAGGAATAGTCGCTCAAAGTTGTTTCTGTTATAATATATTTGTCGCTAGGCAGAAGCTTTTCTCCTAAAACAAAATAATCTAAAAGAACTTGTAATACCCGGTAAATACGAGGTTTATATAGAAAAACATTGCGCTACTATACAATTAATCAGGCTGACAAACTTTGTAAATAAATTGATCTAATTGATGACAGTATTTATTTAATTAGAAAATCATACAACTTTTCCTTTAAACTAATGACTTATAAAAACACAAAGAAAATCGAGACGAATGAAAACTATATTTTATGATTAATAAATGTTGATTAAATTACGTATAACTCAGTTAAAAAAGTTCTTACGTTAAAAAAGCTATAGCTCTTGCAATATTTGCAGGCCAGTAAGAAATATGAAAATAAAACAGAATATAAAATATAATTTCTGTTAGGTACTGTCTGATAAATCTTTTAAATTCAAATCCAACTTTGAATGAGTTAAAGTGTTAAATAAAGAAGATTACACATGCAGATTCAGTACAACTAGCAGCAGAAATTTTGTAGACGAAAGAGCTTTTCAGTGTTAAACGTGTTAAATGGATAAGCCACTGATTACATATTCGTGTTGGAATTGAGTCTGATACCTAAACAAACATGTTAATTCATGAGAGTTACATGGTTCCTTACAATTCAGGACATATATTCCGTCCAACTTCTACTAAATAATTCATTATTCTTTTTTTGCGGCGAACAAATTTGAAATAGTCCAAAAACTGCAAGAATTAGTTCAAAGGAGACAAGCATTTAACGTTTGAGCATTGTAACTTAATTATTTCGGTTGGCATAACATTTAGGACATTATCTTTGAGCCTGCCTTTGTAAGTATTTTATTGCTCAAGACGATAATTCAATTACTGCCTAAGATAAATTCAAAAAGTACAGTTACCGAAAGATGAAAGGGAATTAATGTCACAACGTAATTCTTTCATAGATATTTCAAGTAAAACATCTCAGTAACCACGAAATTAGTAATACGCAATAGATGCTATGTCGAATAATTGTCGAGTGTTACTAAGAATTAGAATCGTCGAATAGCAGAGGTAATACTGACTTCAAAAAAAAATTATTAGGGATAAAACCGAGTTCCAAAAGTTGCCGATTATGAACGTAATTTTGAGAACAAGATTTGTCGAGTATTACCTCTATTAATTGACGAAGATAATTATTTATTTCAACCGTTGGTTCATAAATCATAGAAAAATAAAGCCGGAAAGTATTTATTGGACGCCGCACTGGAAAACCGTTGGCACCATGAGATTCTACGTATCTTTTTACGTAATTGTTGCTTCTCTGAACTAAGTAAATGCCTTCCATCTCCGAATAATCTTACGAGCGCTTTTCTACCTCTTTTAATCATTTTATATATATTAGCAAAAAGAATGCCGGAAAGTATTTATTGGACGCCGCACTGGAAAACCGTTGGCACCATGAGATTCTACGTATCTTTTTACGTAATTGTCGCTTCTCTGAACTAAGTAAATGCCTTCCATCTCCGAATAATCTTACGAGCGCTTTTCTACCTCTTTTAATCATTTTATATATATTAGCAAAAAGAATGCCGGAAAGTATTTATTGGACGCCGCACTGGAAAACCGTTGGCACCATGAGATTCTACGTATCTTTTTACGTAATTGTCGCTTCTCTGAACTAAGTAAATGCCTTCCATCTCCGAATAATCTTACGAGCGCTTTTCTACCTCTTTTAATCATTTTATATATATTAGCAAAAAGAATGCCGGAAAGTATTTATTGGACGCCGCACTGGAAAACCGTTGGCACCATGAGATTCTACGTATCTTTTTACGTAATTGTCGCTTCTCTGAACTAAGTAAATGCCTTCCATCTCCGAATAATCTTACGAGCGCTTTTCTACCTCTTTTAATCATTTTATATATATTAGCAAAAAGAATGCCGGAAAGTATTTATTGGACGCCGCACTGGAAAACCGTTGGCACCATGAGATTCTACGTATCTTTTTACGTAATTGTCGCTTCTCTGAACTAAGTAAATGCCTTCCATCTCCGAATAATCTTACGAGCGCTTTTCTACCTCTTTTAATCATTTTATATATATTAGCAAAAAGAATGCCGGAAAGTATTTATTGGACGCCGCACTGGAAAACCGTTGGCACCATGAGATTCTACGTATCTTTTTACGTAATTGTCGCTTCTCTGAACTAAGTAAATGCCTTCCATCTCCGAATAATCTTACGAGCGCTTTTCTACCTCTTTTAATCATTTTATATATATTAGCAAAAAGAATGCCGGAAAGTATTTATTGGACGCCGCACTGGAAAACCGTTGGCACCATGAGATTCTACGTATCTTTTTACGTAATTGTCGCTTCTCTGAACTAAGTAAATGCCTTCCATCTCCGAATAATCTTACGAGCGCTTTTCTACCTCTTTTAATCATTTTATATATATTAGCAAAAAGAATGCCGGAAAGTATTTATTGGACGCCGCACTGGAAAACCGTTGGCACCATGAGATTCTACGTATCTTTTTACGTAATTGTCGCTTCTCTGAACTAAGTAAATGCCTTCCATCTCCGAATAATCTTACGAGCGCTTTTCTACCTCTTTTAATCATTTTATATATATTAGCAAAAAGAATGCCGGAAAGTATTTATTGGACGCCGCACTGGAAAACCGTTGGCACCATGAGATTCTACGTATCTTTTTACGTAATTGTCGCTTCTCTGAACTAAGTAAATGCCTTCCATCTCCGAATAATCTTACGAGCGCTTTTCTACCTCTTTTAATCATTTTATATATATTAGCAAAAAGAATGCCGGAAAGTATTTATTGGACGCCGCACTGGAAAACCGTTGGCACCATGAGATTCTACGTATCTTTTTACGTAATTGTCGCTTCTCTGAACTAAGTAAATGCCTTCCATCTCCGAATAATCTTACGAGCGCTTTTCTACCTCTTTTAATCATTTTATATATATTAGCAAAAAGAATGCCGGAAAGTATTTATTGGACGCCGCACTGGAAAACCGTTGGCACCATGAGATTCTACGTATCTTTTTACGTAATTGTCGCTTCTCTGAACTAAGTAAATGCCTTCCATCTCCGAATAATCTTACGAGCGCTTTTCTACCTCTTTTAATCATTTTATATATATTAGCAAAAAGAATGCCGGAAAGTATTTATTGGACGCCGCACTGGAAAACCGTTGGCACCATGAGATTCTACGTATCTTTTTACGTAATTGTCGC